GCTACTCTGATCTGGCCAAGGATGCCTTAGCTGGTAGCAACCTGGAGAATGTCACAAAACTCGTCATATTGGGAGAGGGGACAGTGTTCATATTTGAGCAGAAAAATAAAATTGCCTTAAACCAAAAACGATTCTCGTTGCTCTTCCTTCAAGTGGAGTCTTTTTCTTTTTTCCTACCAGGAAAAGAAACCAGTTCAGTGGGTTTTGTATTACTCATCTGTAATTTAATCCTCACCATTGGTCATTTGTGACATGTTTTCCTTATATTTTTAACCCCCAATTCTTTTTTTTTTAATGGAAAACTTTAGGTTGAACACTGTATTGAAGCAAATGTAATTATAGAAAATAAAAACAAATGTTAATTCTTGACAGCAATATCCTCTGGGGTGGAATCGTGTCCTGGTTAATGGTGAAGTCCTTGGGCTGTGATGCCAGTCAGACCCTGGCTGGAATGGGATTCAGTTACTAGCTGGTTGTGTGATCTTGGGCAAATGACTTCACTGCTGTTTCCCCAGCTTTAAGACAAAAATGATTATAGCGCCTGATGCATTGGGTTGCAGCAAAAAATCAGTGATAAAATCTACATAGAGTGCTTGGCCCTGTGTCTATACAGAGGGAAGGCTCAATAAATACTAGCTATTAGTATAATTCAGGAATATCTAAAAGAATTCAGGAAATGAGCCTGAGGGAAATGGAATATACCCTTCCAGGGGGTATTCTGATCCTTGGCGGGTAGCACAGCTCCCCTGACACATACCACATTCATTTGCGGAGAAATCTGGTTTCTGTTACTACCATGTGAAGAGTAAACATGAGAGATGGTAGTTGGTTCTCTACAGCGAGGAAGAAGTGGCCATGCAGAGGGGGTGTCACAGAGGGCAGCTGGGGGACTGGGTGAGCTGTGGGGGAGACTGCAGGGGAAAGGGTGAGGCTGTGTTGCCAGGGGACCTGCTAGATCTCTCCCACCTCTTCTTTGGGATAGAAGATTTCAGATGATGTGGGCTCATGGTGTGTGGTGATAGATTTGCAGGGGACACAGACCTTTCCCTCTTTCCCCATTTTTCTTCTTTTCTCTCTTCATATTCCCAACCTGGATATCTTGGTTAGGCCCTAAAAAAGAAATGACACCCATGGGGCTTTGGCTCTGTGCCAGGTACTTTAAATGCCCGGTCACACTGGGTCTTGTGCAATGAGTGAAATCGCCATTATTTGACAGAGGAGGAAACTGAGACTCAGAGGAGGTACAGAAGCTACCCAAGGCCCCCCACACAGCTGGCCCGTGGTGGAGCCAGAATGTAGCTCACCGTCTGTCTTACTCCAAAATCCAGCTTCTTCCAACGTTCAGCACATAGCTCTATCCCATACTCTGCTTCAGCTTCATTTGGCTCTTTGTGACATTTCTGTGGTTCAATGCCCTACACATGTTGTCCTAGAAATATTTGTGGATTTAAAATTTTAATAACGGCAAAAATAGCTGACACTTTACTGAGTTCCTGCCACCAGTGGGCACACAAGCAGGGTAAGTCCCTCAAGTTCTTACGAGCTCAGGGCTTGTAGCAGAGCCAGGAAGGAATCCAGATTGTCACATTCCAAGGTGCATGGTATTAACTCCCATTTTTCTTTGAGAATCTAGGTTTGAGGCGGAGATGCTAATCCCCGAGCATATCCTTCTTAGGTGACATGTGAGGCTTTTGTTGTTTTGAACTAGTCAGAAGGGCACAGCAGAGGGCCTGAGTGTGCCCATGGGAAGGGAGAGGCAGGGGGGTGACAGCACAAGCTGTGGGACAGTGGCATCTGTTTATGAACTCTGTGATCTCCTGTGTCCAAGCATGAAGCTAGAATAAGCCCCCTGATTCTGCACCTTGGCTTCTCCCTGTGCTTGCTCCAAGCAAGTCCTGTGCTTTGCCAGCTGGGGACCCTAGCTCACGTTCTGCTCCCTCTGTGGGAATACCCCACTCCACCTCACCCTCCTCACCATGCCTGTTTAGGACACCCATTGCAGCTGCCTCCTCCTCCAGGAAACCTCCATGGACTGGCATAGATAATCTATTCATTTCTGAGTCCAAGTTAAATCGTTTATTATACACTCAGAAAAGGGCAAATGGAAAATTATATTGATCTTGAGAAATTTGTGAAATTTTCTCTCAGGGGACACTGAGGGGACAATACTTATTAATGATAGTCTTCATATGTGAAATTCCAGCCATCAACCCTCTAGGGCTTGATTCCATTTTTACAGAATGAATCTTATTCTACTNTGTGGGCTCATGGTGTGTGGTGATAGATTTGCAGGGGACACAGACCTTTCCCTCTTTCCCCTTTTTTCTTCTTTTCTCTCTTCATACTCCCAACCTGGATATCTTGGTTAGGCCCTAAAAAAGAAATGACACCCATGGGGCTTTGGCTCTGTGCCAGGCACTTTAAATGCCCGGTCACACTGGGTCTTGTGCAATGAGTGAAATCGCCATTATTTGACAGAGGAGGAAACTGAGACTCAGAGGAGGTACAGAAGCTACCCAAGGCCCCACACACAGCTGGCCCGTGGTGGAGCCAGAATGTAGCTCACCGTCTGTCTTACTCCAAAATCCAGCTTCTTCCAACGTTCAGCACATAGCTCTATCCCATACTCTGCTTCAGCTTCATTTGGCTCTTTGTGACATTTCTGTGGTTCAATGCCCTACACATGTTGTCCTAGAAATATTTGTGGATTTAAAATTTTAATAACGGCAAAAATAGCTGACACTTTACTGAGTTCCTGCCACCAGTGGGCACACAAGCAGGGTAAGTCCCTCAAGTTCTTACGAGCTCAGGGCTTGTAGCAGAGCCAGGAAGGAATCCAGATTGTCACATTCCAAGGTGCATGGTATTAACTCCCATTTTTCTTTGAGAATCTAGGTTTGAGGCGGAGATGCTAATCCCCGAGCATATCCTTCTTAGGTGACATGTGAGGCTTTTGTTGTTTTGAACTAGTCAGAAGGGCACAGCAGAGGGCCTGAGTGTGCCCATGGGAAGGGAGAGGCAGGGGGGTGACAGCACAAGCTGTGGGACAGTGGCATCTGTTTATGAACTCTGTGATCTCCTGTGTCCAAGCATGAAGCTAGAATAAGCCCCTGATTCTGCACCTTGGCTTCTCCCTGTGCTTGCTCCAAGCAAGTCCTGTGCTTTGCCAGCTGGGGGCCCTAGCTCACGTTCTGCTCCCTCTGTGGGAATACCCCATTCCACCTCACCCTCCTCACCATGCCTGTTTAGGACACCCATTGCAGCTGCCTCCTCCTCCAGCTGTGGGACAGTGGCATCTGTTTATGAACTCTGTGATCTCCTGTGTCCAAGCATGAAGCTAGAATAAGCCCCCTGATTCTGCACCTTGGCTTCTCCCTGTGCTTGCTCCAAGCAAGTCCTGTGCTTTGCCAGCTGGGGACCCTAGCTCACGTTCTGCTCCCTCTGTGGGAATACCCCACTCCACCTCACCCTCCTCACCATGCCTGTTTAGGACACCCATTGCAGCTGCCTCCTCCTCCAGGAAACCTCCATGGACTGGCATAGATAATCTATTCATTTCTGAGTCCAAGTTAAATCGTTTATTATACACTCAGAAAAGGGCAAATGGAAAATTATATTGATCTTGAGAAATTTGTGAAATTTTCTCTCAGGGGACACTGAGGGGACAATACTTATTAATGATAGTCTTCATATGTGAAATTCCAGCCATCAACCCTCTAGGGCTTGATTCCATTTTTACAGAATGAATCTTATTCTACTCTAAGTACACATGAAATGGGTTTGATCTCCCTTGTAGCATGCAGGAGACTTCAGGCATTTCCACAGGCAGAATCTGGTGTAAGACAGCTTGGGTTCACATGTTGGTGACCTTAGGTAAGTCACTTCCCATATCTGAGCCTTTGCTCCCTCATCTGTGAAAGAGGGACCCTTATACCTACATTGTTAGGTTGTTGGGGGAATATAATGGGTAGTAATAATGGCCCCATTATAATAATTGCTACAATTTATTGAGTACTTACTATGTGCCAGGCACTGTGCTAAGCTTAGGTTTGCATTCTATTTGATCCTCCCAAGAACTCCCCTCATTCCTGAAGTCCTCTACTCCACAATATCTTTTCCCCATGGTATTTATTATCTTCTACCATATTATATAATTTACTCAGTATCTTTATTTTTCGTTGTCTTCTCCCAGGGCATCTTGTGACTCCAGGGGGCATCATTCACAATGCATTCTGCTATGGTGGTGCTTTTGCCAAAAATATTAGCATGAATGGTGGTGACTCCCTAGAGTTGTGTGATGTGGAGGCCCTGGAGCTCCAGAGGGTAGAGATTTTTTTTATTTGCCTATTTTGATCATTGCCATGTCCCTGTGTCCAGAATGGTGTTGGACCTATAGTAAGCTTTCAGTGAATATTTGTTCAAAAAGTCAATGAAAGAACCCCCAAAGAAAGACAATTTTACTGGCAGGGAAACTGAGGCTCAATGGGTTATTAATTTGCCCCAAACCCCATAGTCCACTGACCCAGCACCCTCTGTTTCCAGCCCTGCTTTCAATGGCTTTGCTAGGCTGCATGTCTGAAATGCCTTGCGTTGTTCTTGCCACCAAGAAATTGCTCAACAAATATATATGCCCCTCCCTACATGGGTCAAGCCCTGTGCTAGACTCTCCGGGCAGAGTGACAAACTGTTCATAGCCTTTGCTTTGAGAGATTGAGTTAAACTGCACAATACAAAGAAATGGGAGATCTTTAGCTTTTGGAAAAAAAATCCCTAACCCAACTGCTGATGGCTGGAATTTGCAGGAGCCTCTGAGGCCTTCCCAGCCCCATTCTTTTTCCTGTTGCCTTCCCTTTTGTGAGATTTTCTTCCCCTTTTCTGCTTGCAGTGAATTCTGCTCTCCTGTAGGCTACAATGTGTCAGTTGTTATAAAATCCGGGAGGCGGAGTCTAGTGACGAGGGCGGTAGGGGAGAGCTCAGCCAGCCCTGCAGGGCGAGCAGTCCAGCCCTGGGTTCACCGGAGCTTAAGCTTGCAGCAGGAAAACTTCCATCTCGCTCTCCTGGCTTTGATCCTCACTGGACATCAGACCAGAGGCACCGAAGGGAGGGAGGATGCGAGATGACTGGCCCTTTGGCAACCTGACCATCTCCTTAGCAGAGCCTTCAAAAGCAAGCCAGGGTTGGCTGCACGATCAAGGAGGCGCTGTGCCTATCGTGGATGTGTGTGTGTGAGTGAGTGAGTGAGCGAGTGTGTGTGAGTGCGAGTGTGTGTGAGTGTGGGAGCGTGTGTGCACATCACAGCTGGGTAAGTGTGTCTGGATGAGTGTGCGTGTGAATGCGTGAATGTGTTTGTGTGCATGTGTGTGTGCGACTGCTCTTGGTCATTATTTTTTTTTTTGGAAGAAAATCTGAAAATCTGGGGCAGGTTACCATGCTCCAAGGGTGATTCTTCCTTTGCATGAGGAGCTGACCAGAGCAAGCTCCTAGAGCCATTTCTCAGCAAGTAAAAGAGAATTTTCCTCCCAGAAAGAGAAGGATTTTCTCCACTGCTCTGCAGCCGAGTAAAAGAGATTAGCTCCTAAACCTGTGAAATCGACCAGAGCCTTGTGATTACCAGGGCTTGAGAGAGGACTCAGGAAGAAAAGGAGAAATAAATCAAAGAGCCTGTCAGTTCCTTTGGCCACGTCGGAAGATGTCATCTCAAACTAAGTTCAAGAAAGACAAAGAGATCATCGCTGAATATGAAGCCCAAATAAAAGGTGAGATAAGGGCTGGGAGAGTTTCCCTTCTCCTCCCCTTTCCTTTTTCTCTTGCTCTGGCTTTTTTCTTTCCTCCTTTTTCCTCCCTGCCATCATGAAATGTTGTTATGCATCAATAATCTTATTGTGAGTAGGAACAGTGTCAGCAGCACAAGTCCGGACTGGTTTCAGTTGCAGATAGTGCTGGGGTTGAGAGTGTGGATTACGGAATGGGCAGCAATCTCTGCATTGCAGGTGTGTGAGGAGGATTCTACGCTCGACTTTAGGAGTGTCGTGGATACTCCATCATCTTGGCGGTGACATGTCACTCTAAGGCCATTTTGATAGTCGCTGCCTCCTCCCCTTCCCTGCCTGGAAAAAGCCCCTTAATATTGATGTATATTTTTTGCGATCTGCCTTTTTTTCCTCCCTTTTGGTTTTTGTTCTTGGTGGTTATTTTGCCTCCGCCTCTTTCTCTGGGCTGAAATTCACATGGATGTGCACAGGGAGGCAGCATCCCTGGGCGGCACTTCTTTGTCGGTGTCTCTCGGCTGGCCTGGGTTGCCATGGATTAACTGTTATAGGGCATATTGATCCAGACTAATGGAGGCATTTAAGCATAAACAGGGAGCTTGGTGCAGAAAATGTATTATCTCACAGTGTGCAGCCCTGTCGCTCTGTGCGCACGAGTTTAGGGTCATGGGCTTTCATTCAAAGCCAGCACCTCGGCGTACAGTTTAGGCTGGTAGGCGCTGCCTGGGTTCCGTGGTTCTAGTCCTTCCTGCCAGGAGAGTGAGATGACTTCTGGCTGCTGGTTCCACCTTCTTTCAGAAGCTGCTCCCTAAATCCACACTAGCCAGGCGAAATAGGAGAAGAGACACAACTGCATAGGTAAATGCAGCCAGGCAGACTCTTCTCCCATACCCACATGTCCAAGGCTCAGCTTTGGCAAAGGAAACCTAAAAGCTCCATGTGCTATGCTCACCCTTTCTCCAAGGATGCACCCTAAGGGAAGCTTGGGCCTCCTTGCGTCCGTTTTCTTTCTGCTCATGGTTCTCCTTGCTGCGACACAGGGTGTGTTGTGGTCTCTCATAGGAAGACTGAAGACAACCTACATCTTCAGTGGATATTGAGGCCTGTCTCTGAGCTTACGTATGACTGTTGAGCTAGTTGGTTATTTGGAGCTCAAGTGACCTGAGGTTGCCACACTTGCTTCTAGGTGCTGCTGCAGCTGAAGACTCAGTGACCCGGGAAGTGGGGTGGCGTCCCTAGGAGTGGCGCGAAGGCCGGGCATCACAGCTGCCGCAAACGCTTCAGATGCTTGGGAAACTTGGGAGGGGAGCAGCCATGGGGGGAGGGCTTTGTTTTTTATCCAGTCTCACCAACAGTCTTTTCCTTTTAGCTCTGGTCAAACCCGGCGTGCTAGTCTCCTCTGAGTAGATCCCAGGGCAAAAGGAGCAGAAAACCCGCCTCTACCCCGGTCTCCTCCTCTTTAGTTTTCAGTTCAGTGTAGAAAACGGTGAAGTATGAAGTCTTTTCCTTTTAGCTCTGGTCAAACCCGGCGTGCTAGTCTCCTCTGAGTAGATCCCAGGGCAAAAGGAGCAGAAAACCTGCCTCTACCCCGGTCTCCTCCTCTTTAGTTTTCAGTTCAGTGTAGAAAACGGTGAAGTATGATGTTACAGCCTTGCTGAAAATTTAGAAACAAGCCCTTTATTGGTCAAAGATTTGAATTCACCCAACTGCTCAATACAAAAGCCTAGTTTCAATCTTTGAATATACACTTTTTAGGAAGTTTGTGATGTATAAGACTAATTTCACCACCTTGAAAAATGCCATAATAGAGAAAGGGATGTTGAGTTTTGGACAGTTTGGGTTTTCATAAGCATTGTATTGGTAGGAAATGTGTTTATCTTGTTTTTGAAGGATTGCTGCTGCTGAGTCAGTGAACTTTGCTTGAGGACCAATTAAGCATTAATTGCTCTGGCTGATTCTTTTTTTATTTTTACCTTTTATCTTTATTTTAACAACTAATGAGCAAGTACCAGGTAATAAATTTCATCAGGAAATTTGTCCAAATAATCTTGTCTCTTCCAGACTTTAAATTTCTCTGCATTCTGGTTAAAGGAGTTTAATTTTATTCCTATAGAGTTAACACCCACAAAAATTAGGTTAGAAAAATGCTGTACCCAAGACCCTCTGAAATCTTTTCTTTCATAATTCTATTTGTTAATCATCATCATAATTTCTGATGTGTGTATAGGGCTCTACAGTTTCTATGGCTCACTTCCAGACATTGCTGCTCTTGGCCCACCTAATGTACAGAAGGGGTAGGATGAGCTCAGTTTCAGAGATGAGGAAACTGAGGCCCATTCATGTTAAATGACTTGCCCAAGGTCACAGGCCTGTTTGCTCCCAGGCCTGGTTCCTGATACATTGTTTGCCTGAAGCTGCCTCTGGAAGGATTGATGTTACTAGCAGATGGCAGTTTTGTAGTGGGGGCTGACTGCCTCTTGATCGCGTCCCATTGTTTACCTTCTTACTTTCATCCCGGCGCCTTTGTCACTTGCCTCTGAAGAACATTTTACCAATCACCCAAAACAATGCCTGATG